GAGTGAGGTGAGTGAGGTGAGTGAGGTGAGTATCTCAAAAGGAAAGTAAACATGTTGGAAACGTGGAGAGGAGTATTATTCCAGAGCTTGAGGCCCAAGGATAGGCAATGACAGCATAGCCAATAGTGGAGTAAGCAAAATTTAGGATGCACAAGCAGCCAGAATTAGGAGGAAGTCAGATACCACAGTGTTGAGAGACTGGCAGGAAGAGATATTGTGAGGCAGACCACAGGGATTTGAAAACATGAATGTGAATTTGAAAACTAGGTGCTGCTTGATTATATGCCAATGTTGATGAGTAAGCACACGTATGACGAGAATGAAATTCGTTGCAAGTTAAAGAGATGGGCCGAGTTTTGAATAGCCTCAAGCTTAAGAAGGATGTATTGCGAGAGACCAGCTAGGACTACATAAGAATAGTGAAGTCTAAAAGGAATGAAGGCTTCAACTGGAGAGCAGCTGCGCAATGTTAGTGATCTTAGCAAGGACAAGATTCAGATCATCAACTCTTCTTGGGTTCACATCTGTTACACATATTATGAACACACCAGCTTAATTTCAGACCCTGGTCAGAGTGAGGCAATGAATTAATAGGTAGGGAAGGGAATTAAGAGCAGGTACATGCATGCATGTGTGTGCATGCATGTGTAGAAGAGCATTGGTTGACGTTCTGAGTATTCATGGATGTGGTGCCAGTTGAGTGGGTTGGGGCAACTGGGGCTGTGAAAAGCACTGTACGAATACGTATAAAGACTTTAGATATATAAACATTAGCAAAATTGGCACACAAGATGATATATAAAACATTTAATATTAAAAATTAAAGACAGATGACAAACTTCATAACATTGTTTACTGACACAAAGCTTTATACAAGAGGGTCACAACACCTCCTCCTCAAAAAAAAAATGAACATAACGGACTTACCATCATCTACAACAAATGACCCAAGTAGAAAACAGGAGAATATTTTTCTTCCACTCTGTTTGGCATGACGATGGACAAGACGCAAGATCTTTTCTGCCACAAGCAGCTTCGGGTTTCTGCAGAGTTGTGTATAATTATTAGCAGCATACATACAAAGTAAGAACTATAAACCTTTCTTCAGAAATAAAGGCTTCTATATTGTAGCTGTCTTACAGCAATGCTTACTCTTTAGAAGAGAGATGGAATAATGAAGGAAAATGGAAGAACAACTGATGCTAGAAAATATCAACTTCTATTTACAGAAGGCCTTTAAAATAAAAAGTTGCAAGTAGATTTATAGGTTTGCTAAACCACAAATAGTGGACAACATACTGTGTTAAGGAAGATGGCCAAAAACTTGGACAAAGTTAGTTTTTGGAAGCATCTTAAAGATGGTTTAGGTTACGCCAATTTTTCAATACTGTGTTCAATTCTAGTCTCCTTACTTATAGGAAAGATGTTGTGAAACTTGGAGAGAGTTCAGAAAAGATTTACAACGAGGTTGCCAGGTTTAGAGAGTTTGAGCTATTGGGAGAGGCTGAATAGGCTGGGGCTATTTTCCCTGGAGCATCAGATGCTGAGGGGTGACCTTATTGAAGTTTATAAAATCATGAGGGGCATAGATAGGATGAATAGCCAAAATCTTTTTCCCAGGGTAAGGGAGTCCAAAACTAGAGGGCATAGGTTTAAGGTGAGAGGGGGAAAGATTTAAAAAAGAAAGGGGTAACTTTTTCATGTAGAGATTTGTGCGTGTATAGAATGAACTGCTGGAGGAAATGGTGGAGGCTGGAACAGTTGCAACATTTAAAAAAGCATCTGCATGGGTATATGAATAGGAAGGGTTTAGAAGGATACGGGCCAAATGGGACTAGATTAATTTAGGATATCTGTTTGGCAGGGATGATTGGACCGAAGGGTCTGTTTCCATGCTGCACATCTCTATGACTAATTCCATAACTTACGGTATTGGCAACTGAAGACATTTCACTATTTCTACACAATTAGTATTAGGAATGCTGAAGAGGCAAGAGAAAGGCAGGGCTGCAGAAATCTAGGAAGGTTAAGGTGGAAGAAGATTCAACATTGAGAGACAAGGCCATGTATGAATGCAAAAACCAAGAAAAACAAAATTCAAGACTCGCTTAACCGGAATCCAATAATTAGGTCAAAGACACCTCAGTGCAAAGTTAAAACACAGGAAGAGAAATCGGAATGAACTCAAGCTTGTGTAGGGTTGAAGATAGAAGATCTGTGCAAACAAAAATGCAGGAGGACTTTTGTAACAGGCAAGCTGTAGTGTGACCAGGTTCGGGAGCTGCAAGGAGCGGACATTGATGATGTAGATACAGTTAGTACCTCACAGGATCAATACAACACCAGGGTTGCAAACAGTCTACGTCATCCTTTGCCAGGAAGATGGGTACTTTTAGAAGCTCCGGAATGGAGTTGTAAAGGAGATGCTGGATAGGCCGGGACGTTTTCATTGGAGCGCAAGAGGTTGAGGGGTGACCATATAGAGGTTTATAAAATCAATACAGATATAGATAAGGTAAATGACAGGTGTTTTTTTTCCCCTAGGGTGGGGGAAATTCAATACTCGGGAGCATATTTTTAAAAAGGTGAAGACATGAAAGGCAATTCTTTTTAAAAAGAAAAGAAACAGTGTGGTTCGAGTGTGCAATGAACTTCCAGAGGTGGTGGTGGATGCAGGTACAGTTACAACATTTAAAAGGCATTTGGATTAGTACATGAATAAGAAATGTTTGGAGGGATATGGACCACGTGCAGGCAAATGGGACCAGTTCAGTTTAAAATTATGGTCGCCGTGGGCTGGTGGACCGAAGGGTCCGTTTCCGTGCTGTATGATTCTATGATATTGTCTAATCAGTCAAGGAAAACGGTAGGTGCCAGGTCACATCTCATGTACTTTAGAGACATCATTGCTCACAATTTTGTCCATACTCCAAATGGTCACTAGACAAAAGTCAGGAATGCGTGCAACCACTCCAACTTGTTACTGCGAATTCATTGCGCTAGCTGTGATAAATACACTGGCAAGACCAAAGCAGATGAGTAAACCATTTCTTTCTGCAAACCTCATCCCGACCTTTTTTTGATTTCCTGCAAACTTATTCTTTTAACTTTCATTCTGATCCCTCAATCATTCTAAATAAAACCAAACTTCTGTATCAGCTAATGTACTCTGCAGCATTTTCCACTTTTATTTCATTGCCTTGCTTAGTTATTCTAAACTGTTTGCTCCTTTATTGGTTTAAAAAGGAGCTGTTCACCAGGTTTTCCAATAAAATGTAACCATACATGCTGGAGATCAAACAAACAAAAACAATGTTGGAAACCCCAAAAGCTTTGATCTTGGGAAGGATGTTCCCAATGATCGGGAAGTCCAAAACAAGGAGTCACAGTTTAAGGATATCTCATGTATGCTTGAGATGAAGAGAATTTTTTTCCCCATCCAGAGAGAGTGGCAAGACTGTAGAATTCTCTGCTATAGAAAGCAGTTACGACCAAAACATTGAATGTTCTCAAGGAGGAGGAGTTAGATATAGTGCTTAGAGCTAAAAAGGGACCAAAGGGTATGGGAGAAATTGGGAACAAAGTACTAAGTTGGATGATCAAATCATTATATTCAGGAGGTTTTACAGAATATAAAGTGGATAAGTCTCTGGGATCTGATCTAATGTATCCCAGAATGTTGCGGGAAGTAAGGGAGGAAATTATGAGACCCCTTGCAGAAATATTTGCATCATCTATAACTACGGGTGAGGTGCCTTATGACTGGAGGGTGGCTAGTGTTGTACTTTTAAGAAAAGGTTGTAAGGAGAAACGAGGGAACTGTAGTCCTGCGGGTCTGACTTCGGTTGTAGATGATTATAAAAGATATAGGATTTATGGACATTTAGAGAGGAAAAAATTGATTAGGGATAGTCAGCATGGTTTTGCGTGAGGAAAATCATCTCTCACAAACTTGACTGAGTTTTTTGAGGAAGTTACCAAAAAGGTTGATGTCAGAGCAGTAGATGTTGGTCATTTGGATTTTAGTAAAGCCTTTGCTAATTAGTATTTCATGTGGAACCTTGTCAAAGTTAGGTTACAAAGGATTCAGGACGAGTTTGCCATTGGATACCTAATTGGCTTAACAGCAGGAGACAGAGACTGATGGTGGAGGGTTGGTTTTCAGACTGGAGGCCCGACACTGGAGGTGTTCCACAGGAATCGATTCTGGGTCCCTTTTTGTCTGTCATTTATATTAATGATTTGGACGAAAATATAGAAGGCACAGTCAGCAAGTGTGCGACTGACACCAAAATTGTTGGCATTGTAGACAGTGAAGGTTTTCTAGGATTACAAAGGGATCTTGATAAAATGGGTCAATGGGCTGAAAAACGGCAGATAGAGTTCAATCTGGATAAATGCAAAGTATTGCATTTTGGTACAACAAACAAGGGTAGGGCTTCTACAATTTATGGTAGGGCCTTGGGTAGTGTTGTAGAACAGAGGGACCTAGGGGTGCAGGTATATAATTCTTTAAGAGTTTACATCACACATATACAGGATGGTTAAAAAGGTGTTTGGCACACTTGCCTTCATTGCTCAGTCCTTTGAATATAGGAGTTGGGACATTAAATTGGAGGTTATACAGGACATTGGTGAGGCTTCTTCTGGAATAGCATGTCCAGTCTGGTTGCCCAGTTATCGGACGGATATTATCAAGCTGGAGAGGGTTCAGAAGAAATTTACCAAAATGTTGCCTGGTATGGAAGGTTTGAGTTATAAGGAAGATTGCTGGATAGGCTGGGACTGTTTCCACTGGAGCACAGGACGTGACCTGATAGGGAAAAGACAACTACCATCAACTCTAAGATGGGGAATTTCAAGACTAGGGAACAAATTTTTTAAAGAGGTGAGAGGACAGAGAAAGAGATATTTAAAAACAAAAAGACGCAAAAGACATTTAGATGGATATTTGAATAGAAAATGTTTGGAGGGATAAGGGCCAGGAGCAGGCTGGTGGGACTATGTTTAATTTGGGATTATGTTTGGCATGGACTAGTTTGACCAAAGCGACTGTTTCCATGCTGTATGAATCAATGACTCTGAGGAGCAAAATGCCTATTCCTGCTCTATTTACTAAGTTTCCGATATCCTTTTTACGTTGATGTATTATGTTTTCAATCTATTACCTACAAAAGTTCACCCCAAATAATTCAAAACCAAAATACCAAAAGGCAAAATTTACTCAGTTAATTCTTTTTGAAATAATCATTTACTTTGAACTATTAGAAACTAGCAACTCAAAAGTTCAAACCATCTTTGTTTTAGCATTTAAATACATTTATGAATATTGCATTGCTATATAAATTCAGTGTATTAGAAATTAAGTTCATTAATCAACAGAACTATTATCTAAAGAGTCAAAAAGTTAACCCTGAAATATGGGGAAGTAAGTAATCTGCAAACCATACCTATAATAGGTTAGCTGTATACTTATTGCATCACCAAGCGGTGTTGGATCCCATAACGCTGACTTCGTCTTGGGAAAGTTGAAAGAAGTTATTCCCCGCTCTAGTGGCCTGTGAATATTATAAACTTTCAGAAAACATGTCTCACAAAAACAATCAAACCAACTGTAGTAACTCCTCAGCAAGTAATTTACCTTTGGACGCATTGGCTTTCAATAGTATTGTTTGAAAAGTCCATTTGGTGAGAAGTAAGGTTTTCAAAGTTCACTTCGATACTCATGCCTAAAATCAAGCAATAATGCATAAGTTTAATTGACAGTTGTTTACAAAGCAGAAATTCCATAAACGGTACACAAAGTGTAACAAAACTTCAAATGCTAAAATAGTAACTAAGAACAAAAAATGACTAATCTGATGAAAGACAGACAACCTCACGTTCTTTCTTCTTTGTTGCAAATATAATTGAGAAAATGAAAAGTTCTGCACTCTTTGGAACTGTACACTTCTATACCATTGCATACCCTGCATATCTGTAATCTTGTGTAACCAATCCTGTTTTATATGTAAAACAACATGGTAAATGTACCATATTCCATTGACCTAGTGTCAATAATAATTTGATTCCTTTGTTTTATTTTGAGTACTTTTATTTTAAAATGTAGGAATATATTATCGTAGCAAAACATTTTGATTTTGAAAGTCTACTGGATAGGAGGCAAAGTTGTATGATGGCTGGACAAGTATTCCAGAGACCAAAGTAACTTTCTGGGAACCAGGATTTGAATCCCAGATGATGGATTTGGAATTTGAAGTCGAATGATGCAATGTTGAGTCTCGCAAAACCCATTTAAATTCACTAACACCCAATGTGCTCTAGGATAGGAAATGGTCATCTTGACTCCAGAGACACAGCGGTATGGTTGATCCTTAACTGCCTTCAAAACGATCTAGTAGGCCACTCAGTTGTGTCAATCACTAGCAAATCTCAAAAGAAAGGAATAAACTAGGTGGAAATCCTGGCATCAACTAAAGCACCAGGCAATGCAGCCTTATCAACCCTGCAAGGTCCTCCACACTAATGTGTGGGTTAGTACCAAAATTGGGAGAGCTGTAGACTGGTCAAGAAACAGACTGAACCACACTCTCAGAACCAAACCTTACACACAATGCCCCACACAACATAACCACCCCTGATACATCCTGTCCCATTAGCAAGATAGGCCAAGTGAAGTGGACCAAATAGCACAGTGGTATACACAGTCAGGAGGGTGTTCTGGACTCCCAGGGCAACATAGACTCCACTCCCCATGAATTCTCATTGCATCATGTCAAACAGAGGAGGAAATTACCATGTACCAAGCCTCCTCAGTTGATAAATCAGTACTCAAATGTTGAGCACCATTTGTAGAAAGCACAGAGGGTAGCAAGGATATAGAACATGCTATATGTGGGGGATTTTAATGCCTTCAACAACACCATGACTAGCTGAGCTAATTGAGTCCAAAGGACATAACTTCTAGACTGTATCTACAGCAGATGGTAAGGAAACCAAGGCAAAATGCACTTGACCGGAGCCTCAACCAACCCGCCTGCCATAAGTGCATCTGTTCCTAACAGTAAAGAGTTACCATCACAGTCATTGTGGAGGCCAAGTGCCATCTTCATATTGAAAATACCCTCCAGTGCCAAACCACAATCACTGTGCTACATGGGACAGACTTCAAACAGATCAAGCAACTAAAGACTGGGAACAAACAAAAAAAAACAAAGTTGCTGGAAAAGGTCAGCAGGTCTGGCAGCATCTGTGGAGGAGAAAACAGAGTTAACGTTTCGGGTCTGGTGACCCTTCCTCAGAACCCAAACTAAAATACTAAAGACTGGGCATCCACAAGGCACTGCAGACCTTCATCAACAGACCTGTCCTCCACAGGATCTGCAGCCTCAAGGCCTGGCATATCCCTCATTCAATTACCATCAAGCCAGGAGATGAGTCCTGGTTCAAATGGAGAGTGCAGGAGGGCATGCAAAGTGCCAATTATGCCTAAAAGGAGGTGATGTCAGTCTGGCGACACTACAAAACAGGACTACTTATGTGTCAGCATAAGTTACACAGTGATAGACATAGCCAAGCAATTCCACAACCAACGGATCAGGTTCAAACTCTGCTGTACTGCCACATCCAGTCATGAATGGTGGTGGACAATCAAACAACTCACTGGAGGCGGTAGCTCTACAAATAGCCCCATACTCAAATGATAGGACAACCAGCACATCAGTGCAAAAGATAAGCCTGAAATATTCACAAACAATTTTCAGCCAGAAGTGGCCTCAGGATTGCAGTCTTCAGACAACTCAATTCACTCCATGTGATATCAAGAAATGGATGGAGGCACTGGATACAGCAAAAGCCACAAGCTCTGAAAACTTGTGCTCCAGAACTAGCCTTGCCCCTAGCCAAACTACAGATAAAACAATGACATCAATCCAACAATGTAGAATTATTTACTGTCATGTGTATTCAACATAAAATAGTGAAAAGTGTGTACTGCCACCATGCATAGGCATCATTCACATCAAAAATAAAACAAAAAGAAATAAAGATAATTTAATTAGGAGTACAACTTTTCCTTCTCCACTGCTACACAATCCTGCTCTGGGCTACCCAGCCCACGCTACGTTTCTGCCATAATCCCACCCTAGGCTTCCTAGCTCACACCATGCCACTGGCAGGGGTCCACTGCACACAGAAGGAGAGTCTCACTCAAGGCTTCACAACCAACCGACTCTGTAGTCGAGCCGCCTCTTAAGACACCGACACCACTGAAGCCCTTGAAACTGCCTTTCTACCGAAGAGCTCTCTTTGTCAGGTAGTTTTATTTAGTTTTTGCTAAAACTTGAGAAAAAGGGGAGAAGAAGGAAACAAGAAAAAAAAAAGAAGAAGGAGGAAAAGGACAAACCCAGGCACAGGAGCCCAGACTCTGCACACTCCGCTGCCAAATACCCCAGTATATGTTCGGTATATGAAAAGCTTGGCAAATCTAACCTGACCAATTACCAACAGTCTACTCTTGATTGCCAAGAGAGTGAAGGATGAGAATTTCGACAATGCTCTCAAGCAACAGTTGCTTAGTGATATACAATGTGTGTCCTGTCTGGGCCACTCAGCACCTGGCATTACAGCCTTAATTCAAACATGGACAAAAGAGCTCAACTCCAGACTTGGAGAGAATGACTGCCCTTGACATCAAGGTCACATTTGAACCAATATGGCATCAAGAAGCCTTGTTAAAACTGGAGGAGTGAATAGGAAATCAGGAGGAAAACACTGTCTGGAGTCATATCTGAAGCAATGTTTGGAGAGGATTGTAGCTGATGGAGCTTGGTCATCTCAGCTCCAGGACATCGCTGGAGGAGCTCCTCCGGGTTATTCCCAGGCCCAAATCATCAGCTAAGGTTGCAGACTTGCTCAGCGAGCTGGTGTCTTTGACTGCAGACATTGTGTCATCCTGCTAGGTAACATCATAAATGCATCTCTGGTGAAGCGTTGGTGTTCTGTCCCGCTTGTTATTTATATGCCTCTGTTTGCTGGAGTGGTTGGCATCACTTCTGGTTCTGTATTTCGGTGGTTTGTATATTAGGTCCAGTTCAATGTGTTTGCTCATGGAGTTCCGGTTAGAATGCCAGGCCCAGAATTCCCTGGCATGTCTCTGGCACAAGCCTAGTAGGGTTATGATACATGTGCAATCAAATACACCAGCTTAGTGAGCAAGTCCACAACCTCAACGACAACCTGAAGATTTGTAGCTCAGAAAACTTTAAACATCATCAGCTGCTTCAACGACCATTGGTCCATCATAAAGTCAGAAGTGCCGTTTGCTCGCTGATGATGGCACAACATTCAATACAATTCATCACTCTTCAGATACAAAATAGTTTGTGGCCATAAGCAGCAAAACCTGGACAACATTCAGATTTCAGATGGTAAGTGGTAAATAACATCTGTGCTGCACAAGGCAGAATCAAGCAACATTGCTAGAATAGTAAGCGATATTATTACTGAATACCCTATCAACATTAGGCAGAAATTAAAATTGGACTAACCATTTAAATACGTGGCTACAAGAGCAGGTCAAAAGCTGGGAATTCTGAAGCAAGTAACTCACCTCCTGATTCCACTCAGCTTTGCCCCTATCTTCAAAGGGGCAAATCAGCAGTGCAATGAAATATTCTCCACTTGTCTGGATAAACGCAGCTCCAATAACACAAAGTGCAACGCCATCCAGGCCAAAGCAGCCTGCTAACGAGCACGATCTAAAAGATGCATAGCAGAAATTCATCAAGGCTCATTTGACAGAACCTTCTACCACCCAGAATGATAAAGGCAGCAGTTACATGGAAACACTACCTGCAGGATCTATTGAAGCCACGCACTACTCTGACTGAGAATTATAAATTTGTGTTCCTTCACCATTGTTGCATTAGAATCCTGGAACTCCTGCCCTATCAGAACTGTGAAGTACACTTCAATGTCCATCTTCCAAAAGTAGCCCATATCCCACGAAAGAATAAATTGTTTATTTTTATAAAGTGAGTGCTTCAATTGTGCCAAAATAGACAAGGAGATGAACAATGGGAAGGAAGAAAAGGAGGATGTGGAGAATTCCAAAAACCTTCACTGCAGAAATATCTTCATCAGTATGCTTTAGCCCAGAGCAAGGGAGCTGACCATAACTTATGTAGGGTATGTGAAATGCATTAAAGTGGGAGAACTGGACAATAGTGATCACAAAATAATTTGGCTTGAATGTAGTTATGGAAAATATTAAAAAATGAATATCTTAGGTCCTTTTGAAAACATGCTCAAGAGATATAGGGAGCTGCTGTACTCAATGAAGTTAAATGTTCAATAACTGAACTTTTCCTTAAAAGAATGGCTGAATTTTCAGTGCAAATGTATTTACCTGAGCCAGGAGGCTGCAGTTCAAGTCCCACCTGCTTTATAGGCATATAATAACACCTCTGATCAGGTGGATTAGAAAATGTTTAATTGCTGAATATTCCCCATTATGGGAACAAATTAGACAGAAGAACGAACAAACAAGTGGTGTTTATATCTTAAAACAATACAAACAGATTTTGGAATATTTTGGATTGACTCCTGTTTCAGTAGGTGAACAAACGGCAGTTTAACAATTTCCACGCTTTGAAATAGAATTAAAACAGACATGTTGGAGTAATGCATGAACTGAAACAGTAAGTGAGAAAATGCAGGCTTTTGCGGT